AAACAATCATAAAAGTAAAAAAATATTGACTTCTGAAAGGTTTTGTTATCCAATAAATTATAAATTGGAAGGAGAAATTATATATTCCGATGATGACTATAGGGAATAGAAAAGCTGTTCCTTCTTGATATGATAATACTTATTGTTGTGTTGAAAAATCCACAAAGGATAGAAAATAGAATAATACTAATTGATTAAATTCATTTTCATTAGCTATTCATCGGAAAGTCATTTGAAAGTTAGCTATTAGTGAGGATACTGCTGTTTTTTTATTCATCAGTTATGCACGTTAAAGCAAATGAGAATTGTGTTAGTAACTAATCAGATAGAGTTATGAATTGACTGAATTGAAGAACGTGTATTAATGTACCTTGATTCATTAGTTCAGATTTATCAATGCTTATTATAACATTTGAAACAAGTGAAGGATATTATTTGTAGATTTAAAGGTTAACACTATTGATTAGTCATAAATTAGAACAAGAAAGTTGTTCAGTTCCACATAGTTTTTGATGGGTCTTTAAAGGATGTTAATTTGTGACAAAAACCATAATTGTATTGTGTTATCCGTCTTTAGTTCTCCAAAGCATTATATTCCCATACAATTATTCATCAGTATAACTGTTATATATGAACCAACATGGGTCCTAAATATAAGAACCATACATTGAATACTTCATTTACATATTTCCATCATTTGTCCTTCATATTCTGTATAATTCTTCAAGTTAATAATTCCTTTCTATTTTCCCTTCTATTCTCTTCAACTCGATGTTCTTAACCTTCTACTGCCAGGTTTTCCACCTTTGATTGGTGTTATATACTAATGATATCTGTCAACATAAGTGGCATACACCACTACTGTAAACAAAATCTATTCAAGTGATTTCTCACTTAAATTAGATTATATGTTTCAATAAATTTAAGTAGCTTATAAAACTAATATCAAAATAACTGAAATAAAAGAAATTTAACAATACTTAAGTATTTCAATAAGTTGTTTTCTATCCCATCTTTACGCTCAACCGATTTTATTATTTTCCTCATTTACCTTCGACTACATCTTTATTCATTTTCATTATTTTATCGAAAATATTTTCACACTTGAATTCATTAGTCGATTTAAACTAGTTGAAAACACGGAGGCACTGGATTAGTTGAAGTTAGATATTAACACCGTTGGATTCCGGATCAGTAGTCTAAAGGTTAAGCATTCGTATACGAGACCGAAGGTCTAGGGTTCAAGTCCCTCGTTCAGGATTATGGATACACATTGTTAAGGTGTCCTATACTAGGACAAAAGGGCTTTCCAGTGCTCCCAAGTTTTCAATGGTCATCTAGCTTAGTTCAACGCATGAGTTCAACTGTGGAAATACTTTTTACAAACTTCAATCTTTTTAACTATCAGTAATTATAATCATCAATTGTTTGAAAACAACAAACTTAGCTATAACAATGTGAATAAGAAAATAAGTTTATCAAGGGAAATTATGTTGCCTTTACTTAAATAATTTTTTTTCGTTCATTATATAAACCAAGTAGGTAATGAGAAATCAATAGATGATAGGAAAATTACTTTCTTCTTTTTTTTCTTTCTAACAACTAATAAATTGTTTCTTGGTCAAATAAGCATTCATCTACATCAAAACTCTATACCTTTATGATTAGTATTATTGTTAGGTTACTTTTTTTCTCTTTAAACCACTTTGTAAATACTTATCTACTTATTTCTTTTACCTTAAATATAAAATCTAATTAGTGAATAAGAAAAGAAAAAAATCTAATATCAACGAAAAGTTGCTTAGAGGATAAAATGAACTTATTTTATAAATTTATTGAATGACTAATTGTAAAGTAATATATAAGAATAAACTAGTTTATTCTTATATATTGATAAGTTCCTATTACTTTAAATCAATCAGAAAACAAATGATAAAAATGATGTAATGAACAAATATAAAAAAAGTATAAATATTTTGATTTAGAACTTTCTCAAGATTTACTTACTTACTTACTTACGTCTTTTACTCTCAATGGAGCATAGACCGCGGACCAACATTCTTCAACCCACCCTGTCCTGGGCCTTCCTTCCTAGTTTTAACCAATTTTTGTTTATTCTTCTCATGTCTGTCTCCAATTGTCGGAGTGATGTGTTTTTGGTCTTCGACTTCTCCTTTGACCTTCAGGATTCCATGTGAGGGTTTGCCTTTTCCCACGATTTATCATAAGTTAATTTGTTCTATAAAAAGAACTCATTTGTATAAATTCACTTGGTATTGTTTGTTCGAATCTTCCCATTGATTCTACTGCTAGCCATTATCTATCTTTACTTATAGTGCTTGTAAATTAAAGCTATATCGAGGCAATACGCACACTATGCACATATGCCAATATGAGACTGATCAAGTGGAGCACTAATCATCAATATTAATATTCAAGTAGAACAGTATCAAGGGAATTTAAACTTCACCCCATTGTACAAATAAGTGGCTATCAGAACTCATTAGCTAAGTGGATAACGTGATGCTTTTTGAAGCAAACTATACTAGGTTGGAATTATAGAGTGAACATCAACTCTGAGATGCAGGCACATCCAGCTGACGAGTCCCAAATAGGATGAAAACGCGTTTCCTGTATTCCACTGCTATCCACTATCCATCTTTGCTCATTTGTATAAGTTTATTTATTTTTAAATTGTTAGAATAGTTTTTGTTTTAAATCATGCTCATATCTGGAAGGGAATATATACTTTTTCCAACTATCTTTATACTCTTTTGTTCTCATTCGAATATGCGTTTTAACAAGATAAAAAATGTTTGGTTGAAAACTTTTGTGAAATTAATTTGTTGAAAATTCTTGTTTTATATATTTGAAACCTTAATATAGTTAGATTAACAAACCAGTTACCTTTTCAATATTTTATATTTCTTTCTTAATTTCCTTTGCATTCTTTGGATATCATTTAACGTTCCCAATTGCATAATATTTTCCTAAACTATCCAACATCTTGTAATTATTTAACTTAGATGTTTTCATTGAAATTAGTTAGAATTGAGTCAGTATCATTTTTTTGATATATGAGCAGCAACATTGATTTCTTTGATGTGAGTCTGATTGGTTGGTACCTGTCTTATAGATTTACCGTAAATTTAAGTTTTTATTTTAGTACTAAAACTTTTTATGGTAATTAAAAAGGAAATAGAATAGGATTCAATGAAGAGGTATTAAGTAAGTCATTGTATTTGAATAGTTTGATATGGATTTACGAATTTTTATGATTCTATATGCACCAAGGTATACTGGCTGTAATTAATGTTCGTTTTGTTTTGAGAAATAAATGCCAAGATTAAGAATAATAAAGCTTTATTTCATATCATTTATTTTTTCGGGTTGCTTGAGTAATCTGAAATATGACTTTAACGTTATTTATAGGGGTACTTTTAAATCATATGATATTCATCTTTGTACATCCGGGATTTGTCGAAAACCGGGAAACTAAGTTACGCATAGAAATCTCTAATTAGGTTTTTAAGTAGTTGTTTATAGATCATACCGTTTGTGAACAGGATTATAAAAAAGTATGATAACCGATATAATTAAATGTTTACCTTGAGAACCGTCATGATAGCAGTTGAGATTAGTTGCACATTTTGTAGAAAGTATCATATTCAAAATGTCTATATCAGTTCAACTTTTACTATATACATAACCCTATTCAATCCGAGATAAGATATTAAACTTTTTATCATAAAAGGATTCATTTTGACAAAATCAATCATTATTGTCCTTTGAAGACTGGTCCCCGTTATCACTTCTCTTGTTTCTATATTTAAACAATAAAATTACTACTGTTCATCACATTCTAGGTTTTATCTGATTCAACAACTTCAGAAACTTCATTTGGATTTGCGTCATTATGAATTTTTTCAAGAGATTTTTTAAAGCATTAAATTTGTGCTACAGAAACCATTCTACAATCAATTTCGATTATAGTCAATTTTGGTTAAGCCCTTTTTATTAACTTCCTTAACAGACGTCGTCATTTGGATAATAATAATTGGCATATTCTTTGTACTGTTATGACCACTAGAGTACATGACACTCTAGCCAAAATGTTAATTGCTTAAGCTTCGTTCGATTACTCATACTTCGCCCCATATATGTATGCACACAAATGCTATTATCAGCTTTTGTTTCGTTTTGCTGTGCCCTTATAAGATTTGACCATAAATTGTCTATGTAATTGCTTGATACTCGTTCGCTTGTTCGCATGCTGCTCGCTCGCTCGTTGATATTCTCTCAGGTGCTGGTAGCTTTCTGGCTTGAGTTATTTGACAATAAATTGTAGTAGCCGCTTCTCTTTGCCTTCTCATTTTACGCACTGTTAAGACTATTATTATAACAGTTAACAAGGTGAACGATTAACGAAGCACGGCACTACAGTTCGACAGTGAAATATTTACTGTTTACATTATTATTTAATATACTTATAAGAAAAAGGATTTCCTGAGATAGTTTATTAGAAGAAGAAACATTAATGTATTTAATCATTGAAAGATCTCTAAAAAAATAGACAGCATAAAATAGTTTACTGATATATCTTAAACTTTGCATTATAAGAAATTAACATTTCTGTCTTCTTTGTTATCTTATAGTGAACATCAACTCTGAGATATAGGTACACTCAACTGACGAGTTCCAAATAAAATGAAACACTCGTCCTGGATTCCACTGCTAAATATCTTCCATCTTTGTTAGAAAGATGCTCTTTATTTTTTAAAATTTCATTTTAAGTATATGCCAGATTGTAAGCAAAGATGGATAGTGGTTAGCAGTGGAATCGAGGCAATACACAGAATATGCACATATACCAATTAGAGACTGACCAGTTGCAGTCCTAACACAGCGATGGGAAGATTAAAACCAACAATACTAAGTGTATATGTTAGATTGTTTAAGAATATATTTTGATTTTTAATTTTCTTTTTAAAAATTATTAGATTTAATCGAAATAAAATAATCATTTTCATGGTACAACTATTTTATTATGAAAATCGTGGAATACCTTGTCATCACTTATTACGTAATGGTATAAGAAAATTTATAGTTCAATTAGAAGCATGTGAAAATTGGCCATATCCAAGTTCTGAATCAAAATGGTTATTACTATTTAATCGATTTATAAAAAATTGGTGTAAAGTCATTCAAGTAAATTAAAATTATTAAAAGTTTAAAATTATTTATCTGTTTATATTTGATTGGCTAATTATTTTCATTTGTGGTATTGTTGTGTGGGTTGCTTACATCCGTATAAGTAGTATGTGACGATGATCAGACAGAGAATGTATTTCACTAGAAGATCGATAAGTAAAGAAGGGAAAGGAAACGCAATTGATATAAAAATGTATGAACAATAATAATCGGAGACTGTGGACTGATATTTGCAGAAGGAACGGTAAAGATTAAGGCAATTAATTGATAATTCAAAAATGAACAATATTTGAGCGAACAATTGTTTTCAATAACTTCATCATCAGGCTCTACAGTTATAAGTCCATAATTATAATATTTGGACTTATAACTGTAGAGCCTGATGATGAAGTTATTGAAAACAATTGTTCGCTCAAATATTGTTCATTTTTGAATTATCTATGGGGATTTTTAAACTACAATTAATTGATAGTTTACAAATTAACTGTTTACTGTATGGTTGTCAGATTTTAATGAGATATTCTTTAATTTTTGTGTCAAATACATTTGATTGTTCCCACTCGTCTTCTTGTCCACTACAGTATGTGAACCAATTTTAATAATGGAGTTCAAATGTGTCAGGTATTACGCTGTTGTCTTCCAAATGTTTGAAGGATACGTAATGTTGTAAAATGATTGAAGTTAGACATGTACACTACTGAATGACAGTTCAACAGTCTAGAGGCTAATAGTTCTCTGTGAGACCAAAGTTATTGAGTTTGATCTTCAATAGTATCATGGGTGTACACTTCTAAGGAGTGTCGTACTAAGTAGAATTATCTATACAGTGGTTCCTGGTTCATAAGGAACGTTTGACTTAGATTATTTTGAGATATAACTAACATGGAAAACAAATGATTTCATAGAAAATACAGAACACAGACCAAAAGATCGACGAAGAAGTGTGAAACATTAGTCAGCGTATAATACTATGGAAGAATGTGGGTGATAAAATGGTAGTAATGAGCTATAGGACAACTTTTCAATATTGTTTTACTCAATGAAGAAATTTCATAAGTGAATTATAATTGGTGAGCTTAGCATTGGGCAAAAAGCTTATTAGGTAAGAATGTAATTACTTACATAAGCTAGATTTATAATTTACTGGCTAGCTTGAGGGACTCTAAGAACAGACTAGAAGCTTTATACCCCGTTTTAACCGATGAGTAATTAGATAGCAGGAATTGAAAATTGTTATTTAAAGACCATTAAAAGTTATAAGTTTATGGCTACTTTACAGGGATTCTTCATTCTTTAAATCTTTACAGTAGGTTTTCTGCATTTATAGGTAGAGAGTTTTTATTACATATACTGATGTATTCAAGAAAAAGTTAGTTTAAGTTCATTTATAGATCATAAATACTATTATCATGGAACTTTTAACAATTTTCACAATGTGTTCAGACTTCCTGAAAGTTTCTAGAAATTATATTACAAAGTAAAGATTTAAGGATCGTACAAATAAAATTATTGACCGTTTCAGGATATTTTTCAGAATCTTTATGATTTACTGAATAAATGTTAGCATATTATTAGGAGCTCACTTTGAATAAACTTAACAAGGACAAATTTATAATATATTAGGTTTTACGTAAAGTTCGTATTAGAAGGAACAAACAATCTATAATTTTAATTCCATTCTGTGTCACATTGATTGCACAAAGATATTTGTTGATAACTTCGTTATTAGAGTAGTATGACAACTTTACTTACTTATCACCTAATAAATCTGATCACGGATATAGACCTTTAGACAGAATCCACAAACAAAGTTCATAACATAGATATAATTCATATAGTATGATTTATTAAAGGTCATTAATACTGTGTACATAATTATGCCCTAGTAATCCTCCACTTGCCCTGGTACGGAGGATTCCGCTCTCCCTCTCGAAATGCTCTCACATGGCCACGCGTACACAACCACTATCAGGTAAGTTCTACTCACTACCTTCTCGTGGAGGGGGTGTTGTTTACGAAATTGACAGAACGAAAAGCGAATGTCCGGCGCTCTAATCGGGTTGGTGGATATGGAAGATCCACCTAGGTAAGTTGGAAAACCCGGATTCCAAAGTGATAGTGCACATGAGCTCCAGGATCCTGAAGAAAAGAATGAGTATGGAACAATTGTTGGTCATCTGCTATCATGGGAATCCATCTCCTAACGTTTCTTCACTGCCTTGTGGATCAAACCTTTAGGTTGAAGGCTCCGTGTATGGCTCCCTAAGAAAACCACCTGCTGCGATCTGGGCACTCATGCAGTATCACAGCTTACACACAAATCAAGTGATTTGTATGGCGCATATGTATTTGGTGCCCCTCTGTATTAATATTTATGTGTTCAAATAAGTAAATTGAAAGTGAAAACTAATATATTTTTTGTTGATAAACAAATAAAGTGTATCATTTTTTATAGCACCAAGCTAATCAAATCACCTGGTGTGCTGGTGTATAACCGTCTAGAAATCAGAAGCGATTAGATACTTATAATAATTTAAATAATTAATAAATCATTCTCCATTATTTCTGTAGATGACAAGTGGAGGAACAAAGAGATTTGAAACTATTGGACATGTTACATTTACTAAATTAGAAGGTTCAATGTTTATCACTGGAAAATTCAAACAGGATTCAACTGGTAAACAACAAAAAATGCCACATTTCTGTTTATTTTTAACTACAAGTATAATAGATGCTGATTTCTATCATGGTTATTTATTAACTGGAATGGTGGAAAGAGGTAATCGAAAATTGGGCATTTGGGAATCAACACATTATGCTTATGTTAAACGTGAAGGTTATTAAAGATCAATTTGTCTAATTGTTTATATTCTAACTGTAAATCTTTCATTTTGTACGTAAATTCATTTGGAGAAAAATGTACACTTATTGAATTTCTATGTATTTCACATAAGACCAGGCTAAAATACATATAGATACATTATACTCCTGAAGGCATTCATATGTATTCATTTAAATTTTTATAAAATTGATGGTATTCTTCTAGTTTGAATAATATTATTATATAAAAGTATGAAAAAGATTTTAGTTGTATATCTGGGCTCATGTTTTGGATTACTGGACTTTGACAATATGATGTCCTAAATCCGGGTTCTATAACATTTAATATATTTGTAAAATACATAACCAGGACCTTAGGTAAGCTGAAATGTTGTCATTCATCTCAGGGTTTTTATAATAACACTAGATTAGATATACCGATACGTTTATATGTTTAGCATCGACTCTTCTTTATGATTAGATATCTGACTTAGGTTTTCATATCTTTAGAAAACAATACAATATCTTCCAAACATACAGACGTCATCAACATTGAACTTGGTACATATTTGAGTTAGGTCAGATTGGAATAGCACAACTAACATGACTAGATGAAAATAACAAAACAAATAACAAAGTGGTCGAAATATTACAAAAGTAATGATAATAAGAAAGACTAAACATTGGGAATACAATTCCAAAAGATGGATGGTAAGGTGTATATGAAGGAATACTGAAGTTCAAGATTTAGAAGATGTAGAATAAACGAATCTGATCCATTTTTACCCATTCTGAGCTATTTTACTCAACGATCTCAATATGTAACCTAATCAAGGTTGAAATAAACTTACCTAAATAGTATATATTCTTATAAACTGGACATTTGTGCATTCAACACAAGTAAATTAGATTTTTTGATGGGTTGGCTTATAAAGATACTTAAGTGAATATATATTTGGTATTTTATTTAAACAGAAACACATTACAGAAATAATAAAACATTATTGTTTTCTATCACTACACTTAAATGAAAGAGAAACAGTGAAATAATTGAAAAAAGATTCTGTAAGTTAGAATAAGGATGTATGAACACATATATTTAATAGCTTATATATATAGGTATTATTTATAAGGTGTATGTTGTTAGTGATCAAGTTAAAATATTGAATTAGGTAAAATCTCCAACTAAAGCAGGATGTGGTGAATCATCTGGTCGCCAACGTTCACGAATACGTCTGAGTTTATCCGGTTCTTCAAATTCAGGAAAACCAAAATTATCTAATAAATCCATAAAGTATACCTGATGTGTAGCCTATAATAATAATAATGACAATAGTAATAATAATAGTATTAATGACATCAATAATAAAAAAATTTAACAGAAAAATAGAAAAAAGTACAAATGTCTAATTAATTTACCAATTAAATAGAAAAAAAACACTCTTCAATTGTGAATCCAGTAAAATAAATCTAAGAAGTAGAGGGCGAAACGCGCTTTCTTGATTCCACTGATAGTCACTACCCATCTTTGTTTATTAAACTGTGAATTAAGGTAATATCGAGGCAGTCCGCACAGGATGCACATATACCAATAAGAGACTGATCAATTGCAGTCCTTAATAACAATGGGAAGATACAAGTAAACATCAAGTGAATTTAAATCTAAAAAGTTTATATAACCTTTTTCCCCTTTCATAAACTTAAATAGATCAGAGTTCAGTGGTAAATGTATTGGATTTCTTTGCTTTGATTCTGATAGATTCGTAAAAGATAAAATATTTGATTGGTTTGTAGCTTTAATAAATATAGCTATATATATCAAAATTAAAGAATGATATACCTTTTAGTGTACGGAAAATTATCTGGGAGCCATAATACTGGATTCTACTTTTGATTAATTTAATTCTCAACTTGATTATCTTCAAATACATTCACTTTAGTTCTATGGATTTTACTTCATGTGTCTAACCTATACTACCATACTTTCTGTAATCGTTCAATAATGATCAGTTTTCGGAAAGCCCCCGAATGCCCTGGTACTGCCGAAAGTGGGGAGAGTCCGCTCTCCCTCTCAAAATGCTCCCACATGGCCACGCATATATAGCCTCTGCCAGGGAAGTCCTACTCACTGCCTTCTCCTGGCGGGGGTGTTGTTCACGAAAGTGAGAGGATGAAAAGCGAATGTTCGGCGCTTTAACCGGGTTGATGGGCACGGAAAGTTCACCTAGGGAACTTGGAAAACCCTGATTCCAAACCAATGGTGCACATGGGCTCCAGTATCCTGAGGGAACAAATGGCGTATGAATCAATCGTTGGTCACCGGCTACAATAGGACTGCATCTACTTAGGATGCTCTACTGCCTTGTGGATCGGACATTTAGGTCGAAGGCTCAGGGTGTGGCTCCCTTAGAAAACCATCTGTTTCAATTTGGGCACCTGGGAAGTATCTCAGCCTTCACAAAATGAAATGAAGTGAAATTCTTTTGTGGCACATATATATCTGGTGCCCCTTTGTACCAATATTTATGTGTTTAGATAATAATTAGAGTTTTAGGAAAACTTTGATCTGTAATTTTATGCTTCTTAGAATCTCTCTGGTAAGTTAGGTTTTTTAAAACTCTTTAATAGAAAGCTTTCATTAAAAACACTTTGACAGTTTATCAAACATGGCTAGAAAAGCTTAAGTACTGTATCTAATCGAATTGGAGTATAATAATCAAATATTTTTTTAATACTCTCAATTGAACAATCAACCCTTTCGAAATTAACAATATTTTCATCTTAATTAAAAAAATACTTGAGAAGTATGTCGATACAAAAATGTATAGTTTATATAACGGTTTGCAGTGGTTGGTTATACAAATACAAGTTTTGCAAGATGTCTAAAACAATTTTTGTTTTGTATCTGTAACAAAATTACAAAAATAAACAAGTTTATCCTTGAAATTAATGGGTAAGAATATGAGAAATTATATTGAAAAAATGTAATCAGGCATTAGTATCCGTACATATTACTGAGCATAAACGATTAATGGAAGCAAAGATGAATAGTAGCTAGCAGTGGAATCCAGGACGCGTGTTTCGTCCTTGGGACTCGCCAGTTAAACTGAATGGATAACGCGATGGCGTTAAAGCGAAAGGTACTGGGTTCGAGTCACAGAGTGAACATCAACTCTAAGATGCAGGTACATCCAGCTGACGAGTCCCAAATAAGACGAAACGTGCGTCCTGAATTCCACTGCTAGCTACTATCCATCTTTGCTTACAATGCTTGTGAATTAAGGGTATATCGAGGCAATACGCACAGTATGCACATATGCCAATAAGAGACTGACCAGTTGCAATCCTAAAAATCAATGGGAAGATTCAAACAAGTAATACCAAGTGATTAATGGAAGCATTTTAATATAAGATTTTTATCATATTTACTGTAGATTTACACAACGAATAATATTGTAGTGCCGTGCTACACTAATCGTTCACCTCGATAACCATTATAATACAAATCTTAACGGTGCATCGAATTAGAAGGCAAAGAGAAGTGGCAGCTGCAGTTTTATTGATAAATGACACAGGCCAGAAAGTTATAAGCATATGAGCAAATATCAGTGAGTGAAGCAAAAATGACACGCATTGGAGATGTCGGGTAAGCCAACTCACTTTTACCAAGCGTTAATCAATATTTATAGTCAGACAAGAATAAATGACAGACATGTGATGAATAGGATGAGAAGTGTACACAATCATATGCTCATATAAAAAACGGTCAGGGTTAATAAGTGAATAATAGACAGGGTATATTGGCTTTTCCAGAAGCTAGAATAAAGTATATAGGCTTAACATACCAACTGACGCTACAGTATATTAAAACTTTTACCATATAATCGTGACATGTATTCAATGATAACAGGTTGGTGCAGTTCAAAATAAATATTTTATTTCATATCTTTAAGCATTTGAGTATATGTGATTCATGATGCTTTAACTGAAATGAAAATGAAATCTTTCAAGATAGACACTTGAGTGATATTCACTAGATTAAAAATTTATAGATAACTTAATAAGTTTATTGACGTTTAGGATTTAATTAATTATCTTTTCTTATGAATATAAGTGGCATGTATGAATGTAGGAGAATTTATTTTTGGACATATTTACCAGTTGTTTACATACAATAGTGGTTTATCAATTATAGTTCAGTGTTATATCTAATAATGAAAACATCAATTTCGATAACTTTACAAAACTTTTCATTTGTTGAAAAAGTTAGTTTCATTTGTACAAACATGAATGTTAAATAAATTGTTTCAGTTTTATCACTGACAATAATCAATCAATGTAATAAACAATTTCATAGTTCAAATCATGAGTCAGTTGAAGCTACACTATCATGGAAAACCTGGAAGCTTTGGATGGCCGTTTCGTTCTACTGTGGGACTCCTCAGCAGTGCGCATCCACGATCCTGCCTCGCGGGATTCGAACCCACGACTTACCAGTCTCGCACCAGAGCACTTAACACCGTTGGATAGGTGCTTCCAGGTTTTCCATGGTGGTGTAGCTTCAACTGACTCATGATTTCAACTATGAAAATACTGAAATCTCCACAAAACCCCTTCTGATCTAATTTCATAATTTGACAATTCAAAGATAGAAAAACTTACTTGCTGAATCCAAGCTTCAAATGAAATTTTCCATCGTTTAGGTTGTTGATCATGAAGATATGCATTGAAGAGAATTAGAAAGAAATATCGTTCCAAATAGGCTAAACTTCTTTTACGAAGGAGTAATTTTTTTTCTGGATCATTTTCATCTCTTGCCTAACAATAACAAATGACATCTGTTATATCACCAATGGCAAATATTCGTAAGTTAGCCGTAGTACTGTAACACTTGAATCATTCAGTTCAAAATGATAATAGTAGTTTCATACTTTATTATGCATTAATATAAGAAGTCACTTATTATAACCTATTCTTTCAAGGTATCTCTACTGTTTGTACGAGATCAGTTGACTCTGTGGACTCAATCAAATAATGAATTACTAGTTTGACATTGGTTTCAGTATAATGTCTCCGTTATATTTCTTAATTTAACTTGAAAACATTATTTATGACGTGTATATAGTACTATAAAGAGGTTTATAAGTAATACATTTTTGCGAACCCGGTGATCATACTGATATTAAATGATAAATTATACATAATAATTCCTTTTA